TCTAGCAACGTTTTGCCAGGGGGGCCAGGTAGGGCATTAACTGCTCAAAATGCCTGGGCCGATTTTTTGTCCCAGGCAGCGGCTATTTAGCGGAGAGCTCACCTGGTGAAACTGAACCCCCTGTGCCCCCCCACTCTGACACCAGTGGAAAAGACCAAAATTACCAGAAGAGAGTAAACACTGTGAGGTGTGGGTCCCGGCTCACCTGCACCAACTTTCTGATGAACAAAGTGTCGCTGCTGTCTTCATCACATCAGCATTTAATGCATGTATGTGTGAGAGCTGCAGCTCATGGTGGTTTCAAATGACTGCGGACCGCACTGTCCGGCTGGCTGTTAACAGTCGAGTCAGTCTTTCCATCTTTAGAGAAAAAATGGCACGAGCTTCCTATTGAAACGTCATTTCCGGCTCCTCTGTCTCAAAGCAAGATGGCGGCCGTGGTAGAAAGAGTTGATGGATGTGTTGGGTCCTTGGACTCAGATATCGTGTCACTAAGACACACACCCCCTCCATCGGACCAGCAGCACCAGAACAACCCCCTGCTGGGCCTGCCCATCGTGGCCATCGAGACCATCCTCAACTTCCTGTCCTACGATGAGATCAGCCTGCTGCGCTCGGTGAGAACAAAAACAGCAGCAAAGCTAATGCTAGCCAGGGCTCCGAACCCTGTTTGGGTAGCACTCGTGTAAAGGCAGCGCAGGCATCAGGCTGTTTCACCTCCGTGCTCCAGTCTGGAGCCGTCTGTTTGCAGCCACGGCCCGCATTGTGCGAGTTAGCAAGACGGCCGAGACGAGCAGGGCTGGGATACACAACACAACACAATCACACAACTGTCAGAGCGCAGATGAGTGTTGGTCACGGAGTTGTTTGCAGCCAGAGCCGGGCTCGTGGCTGTCCTCTGTCCTTATGTAACTCTGTGAGGTTAGTAAGAGCCTCGCAGCTCCATTCACCTACAGCCTGCTCGGCACACAGCCTGGAGGCTTTGTTCGTCTCCTGCTGTGCAGAAATGTTTGAATCAGTCGCTGTCATATGTTCGTTTGCATTCGCTGAAGAGGTCGTGGCTCACTGGCTAACTGAGGTAATAAGACTGCTGTGCACTACCCGTGTTTTCACTGACATTTGCAGATGAACTTAATGTTGTGACTGGAACCGTTTTCCTGCTGAGACACTCATAGCTACCAAACACTCTCCTCTTGATGCAAAATATTGTGACATGTAAACAAGATGTGCAATGAAGATTTTTTTTTTAGCCTTACTCTGTCATTACACAATACTCTGTGGACTGTGTCACACCTTACTTACCAGTATGAGCGGTGCAGCTGTGTCAGCAGATACGTATCAGGTCAGTGTCGAATGACTGTTGATATTTAATGATCAGGTTTAAACAAGTGACTTCATGACTTTTTTCCTTAAGCAGCAGAAAGCGTTTCCTCCAGTCTAACCCAAAGTAGAATTCAGCCATTGCTTTTTCCTCTGATCCCCTTAACTGTGACACTTGGGAGTAGTTTTTGCAGCAGGATTGTAAGAGAGGATGGTAAATATTCCTTTAAAAACAACAGGAATGATAAGAGCCAATGTATCAGCTCTTAAAACTGTGAATGTAGAGACTGGAAGCCCTCCACTTTATCCAAAGTACTGTGTCAAGAATCCCATGTAGGCAAATAACTTGAAACATACTCATCAGATTACCTGTCCACCTGTTCTCTCTGATCTGTCTTCAGGTATGCAAGCGCATGGACATGATTTGCCAGCGTGTCCTGAATCAGGGATTCCTGAAGGTGGAGCGTTACCACAGCCTGTGCCAGAGGCAAGTCAAAGCCCAGCTGCCCAGGTCAGTATCACATCACAAGTTATTCCACTCTCACTGCACTCTGGTTTTCTTCAGGAACTCTCCTTTATTTAATTATTTGGCCAACTTTAAGAAGCTCGGAAATGACTTTATACTTTTTCCTTGATCTGAATGAATTGGCTGACACTTATGTAGAGCGCTTATAGTCTTTTTTGTCAAAATCATCTCATCCTTACACAAGTATTTTTTCTAAATTCTTCATAAGCTGGGATATAAAATTCACATGTACCTCGTACTAAATGAAAGCATTGTATTTAAATGCAGAGGAGGGAAAAGTCATTGTTCATAAAACAAAAATACAGACGAGAGCATGATGGTAACGTCCAAACTGCATCCAGGATAGAAACAGCTGCATTATGCTGCTAACACAACTTCAGCTCTTTCCAAGCACATGCACAGATAGCATGCTAATTCTAAGCTAGCCACGATCCCAGAGTGATGTGAAAACCAACTGAACGCTGAGCCGACCACAGCGGCCGGACCCTGAACTCCAACAGGGAAGAAGCTTGATAATCAGTCAGGCTGCAGTGTCCGTTTATACGGGTTCAGCTTTGTGCTGTCCGCTTTGTGTTCATACCTAAATGTCAAGAGAAGGATCATTTGTGCTGTTGGGTGGGACTGCTTTACACAGTCTGACCTTTCAGACCCTTTTTATTACCCCTCAGCTGTAAAAGGCTGATGGTATATCGCCCAGCCAGATGAGCAGGCAGCGTGGGCACCCAAGTTTGTGAATGCAACAACTCAAGAATGAGGCGACGTAGAATTCAAACCATAGGTGCATCTACTAAAAATCTTGGATGAGTTTAAATCCGGGTAACCTTAACATCAAGGTCAGAGGTCAAGTTTTCTGAAAATCATCAGGGATTTTCACATTTCTACTGGTGGCTGCCGGTACGTCACCATTTTAATTCCAGCCCTATTTATCTGACCTTCATGTGAAGTTCATGGTGTCGGCCTGAGTGCTGAGGCCTGTTAGCTTCAGATAGTAGTTACCAGACAAAGTAGAAGCAGGTCAGAGGCTCTGTTCCCTCCTGCTGGGTTTCTGTGTAAACAAGAACAAAAACAAGTTCTTTTGGGGTTTTTTGTTGTTTCTTAGTCAAACCTACAGTAGTTTCTTGACGTCATCACAGGCTCCTGTGTCTGTTACAGGATCTATTTCTGATCCTTTTCAAACAAGTTTGACTCTCACTTCTAAAATAAGTCAAATGAGTCTTGAACAGTAAATCTTTTAACTCAAAGCTTGGAGGGGAAATTTTTCTTAATGATGTCAAGAAAAAGATCATATAAATGACGATACATAGAAATAGATATTCTTTAAAGTTCTCTTCATGTTTCCTTTGTCTTCCAGGAGAGAGTCAGAGAGGAGGAACCACTCCCTGGCCCGTCACGCTGACATCCTGGCTGCTGTGGAGACCCGCCTTTCACTACTCAACATGACCTTCATGAAATATGTGGACTCAAACCTGTGTTGCTTCATTCCTGGAAAGGTTAGTGTAGCTGCTACTGGCAAACAACTCTGCAGCATCAGTAGTTTTCAAGTTCTCATTTAAAAAGCTCATTTTTTCCTTTTGCAGCAAGTCCACATTAATCCACATTTATGTTTCTTTTTTATGTATTTAGTTTATGTTCTATGGAGCCCTGTGTGTCTTTAATAAAGTGAAACGAATCCATGCTTTGGTGTTTGCCGTGACATGCTATAATTTGTTCCTGGGTCTGGCGCTACATGCAGGATGGTAAACAAGATGAGTCCAAAGCAATAAAAGCAAGTTTTAGTCAAATTCAGATGCTGAATATGGCTCTTGTGCTTTTAAATACAGCAATATAGGTATAAATATGAAATATAAAAGGACAAGTATGTGTGCAGGTATTTATGGTGGTACACAGAAGTGGCAGGGTGCAGTGAGGTGTGATTATTTCTGTTCTGCGTGTGTGGACCTGACCGACGTGGATGAATTACAGAGTCTGACAGCAGCATGAAGGAACGAGCTCCTGTAACGTTCCCTCAGACAGGTTGAAGGAACCTGTTGCTGAAACTGCTCTTCAGATCGTCCAGTGTGTTATGTAGGGTCATTTTCCATGATTGCCGGCAGTCTTGCCCACATTCTGTACCTGATCACCTCCAGGGCGACGAGCTTCATGCCAACAACAGAACCAGCCTTCCTCATTAGTTTGTTCAGTCTGATTGCATTGTCCTGTTAAGGTTTATGGAAATCAGTCTGCAGTTGGCTCATCACCAGGAGGGTTTCATCAAGTAACTGAGACACTCAGCTGTCACATGACTAACCAGCCCTACAAGCACTGACAGCAGTGCACAGGTTCATTTCTGTTACTGACACTGGATGGCCCAGTCAAAACTCTCAGCACAACCAGCATCTCCCCTACCTTTCCTGTGTGCTCCCCACAGAACAGAGTTGAGTGTGAACGAAGTGGTTGATCTAGACGGACAAACAAAAATGAAAATGTGGAGCTGAAAATCTGAGAGAGGAAAATGAACCAGAAGTAGATACAAAGTGTGTCATATTA